GACGGGAGAAATGTATTGCTAAAAATACCCATCAGATCCATCAGCTAGAGTGTACTTAGGCTTAAGCCTGAAATACTTCCATGTGCAAAGCAAGTTATAGAAAAATAGATGTAGAGAGGCAGCAGACAACAGGAAGATTTACTTGAGCCATGTACAATACCAACAATCAGGACCTAACCCTCATTGTTCTAAATATTGTGCAGTGAGACACCTTCCCTATCCTGCAGGGCTGGAACATCTGTTCTTCTGTAAATCCAGAGGCGAAACAGACACGCCACACCTTCTCAACTTTGCTGCTATGCAACCTGACAGTCCTCACCTGTAAACACAGATAGTGATCTCTGAGCGCTTTAGAAAGGAAGCTGGTTCAAATGTTGCAGCTAGATTACATTTCACAGGGTTAGAGTTACCCTCAGACACCTGCACTACGGAATATCTACAGTACAATTTTTGTGTACAAACAGCAGCCTAGGCTTAACCCATGCCAGAAGGATTTTGCTTACAGCCCAGTCCCACTAAAGACATAGCCGTGGCATCAGAGCTTTGCTAGACACCAGCATGACTGGAACATCCTTCCTTTTCCTGTGAAATGAAGCATACCAGCAAAACTGTACTCTTACTGGTGTACCCTTACAAAGTTTCCACTAACGCCTGCTGGCAGGGCAGGAAAATGTAACAAAGATGTAAGGGTCTAGTTAAAAAATATGCTATTCAAAGAACATTTGCAGGCACTTTTGATCATCAGACCTGTCATTTTTTTTGTGAATATAAAAGGTATATACTATAAAACTTACATACACTGATTTTTTGTAGCTTCCCAGCAATGCTGAGGGCAAGGCACCCCTGCTCCCATTACTCTGTATGTGTTAGCTTAAGGCTGGTTTGTGTATCTATCATTACGTGCATATGCAAGCATAGCCATTACACCACCTTGTGGCAGCTGCGAACAATGGCCGTGTCCAAGAGGTTACAGGTCTGTTCCCAGCCCACCTCAGGCCTTGCGCCACATGTCAACTGATAATCTCAGGGCTTCTGCGACCTAAAACAATCCTACCTGACATCCTGACATGACCACGATCTTCTGCTCCCTCAGGCAGAGACACTTCCTGCTTTGGACTGAGGAGAATTTCACATATCCTTTAACAGTCTTCTGTAAACAGGTCCAGTGGTCATTTCCTTTCTGCCTCTCATATACTCAGTATTTTGAGACTTTTTTCTTTTTTTTTTGGGGGGGTGGGGAGGAAGCACCGTTTGTGAGGAGTATGCTCTTCAATCTTGTGTACCAATTTTTCCACTGATATGTCAGTGCGCCAGTGAGACCAGTTCCCACACACTGGGAATTTACATGCACCTAAATGTTTGATCTGAGACTACAAAAAGTTAGTGCAACATCTGAATATTTTCGTGGCTCTAGTCATCACATACTTCTACGTGACTTACTGCAAATAGGATACAGTCTCGGGAAGTTAATTTATGGCCAACTCTGCTTTAATGCAGTATTCTCTGAGCAGCAGGTTCACCTGTTTCCTCCCACTCCAGTTCACTTTTTGTATACTATCCAATTACAGTTTCTATAGCCACTCCACCTCAACCTCTTCTCACATCAAAACACCCTCTATTTTGTATATATCTACATATGCCTGTCTATTTACATACACATGTCAGGGTAAGCACCTTTCCCCTTTCTACATTTTTCCCACTATCAAAACCAATATTTTTCCCATTGACTTAGCACTGAACTCTCACTAAAGCCATAGGGATTTCTTCTTTATCATCATCTAGCTGTAATCCAACCCCTGAACTGTGAGCTCACACCCAGTCTTCACCACAGGCTCTGCTCTACATCCCCTGCAATATGCAGCATTGCATTTGATGGAACAGTGTTTAAAACAGTTTGCTGGGACAAAACCCATTCCCCATCTCTTATTTCCACCAGAAGATCAAGAAATCTGGAATCATTAAGAAATCTTCAATAGAAGAGATCAAGTTAAAGAAGCTTTCCCAAAACAGGTACCTTACCCGCTTAGGCATTGGAAACCACTGAAAACTTCACATCTAGAATAAACAAATGCATTAGCAACCAACTTTTTTGCACTCTTTAAGCTTTCACAGGTATCAATACATCACAGCCAAGGCACAGACCTTCTTTGTATGTTACATGCTCTTTCCCACACATGCTTCTTGACTATAGACCTTAAATGAGCTGACCTAAACACAGGCTTGACGACACCCAGAGTTCTTCCAAGTAACTGAGTTAACCTGGTGTAAAGAGTAAATCTGGGCAGCTGTTCCCACATACCTGCTTTAAAGGGAATATTTTTTAAAAATTAGCTTCTATGAAGGTTTAAGGTAAGGTGTGTTTGTGACAATTACTGTACCTCAAGTCTTAGTTTCATCTGTCATAGATGAAACTACTTTAAGCCTGTCATAAGCGGACATGGTCCCATCACCTGCCCTCCTTATTCCCACCCCCATGCTGCCCTTTCTCTTCTGACATATATCCACACATGTGGTCTCACAACAGGCCAGGCTGGGAAACTGACATGGATGACAAAGGGTAGGCACAACAGCTTCTTTCAATGGCAGTGCCAGCTGAGAGGATTTGTGCAACCACAGCCTGTTTACCTCAGCACAGAAATATAAGGACTAAATGTATGATTCCCTCTTGCATCTAATCCAGCACAGGAATGGGCTGTTATCTCCATGTCTCTCATGCCCAGCTGCAAGCTATCCTTCTGCATCAGACCTAGCACTATCTGGCCACTAAGACATTTTTTTTTGTTTGGGGAAGGAGGTTAATTTTCAGTTCGAGAAATGATTGAACTGATTCATTCCTGCTCAATCACTCAATCTGGTACAAAGGAAGCATCAGGAGCTCACAAGCAGGACTGGATGAGAGGAATTGGATCAGTCTTTCAGAAGTAGCCTGTAGTTAAACTGGACTAAACACCATATGAAGCCACAATCAAAACAATTAAAGTTATTCAACCCCACTTCTCTGAAATCCCCATCTCAGCACAGTCTCCACAGCCATAAGCACTTAGCTGTCACTCTAAATCACACCAGGCATTCCATGACTACAGTTCCACGATTGTCTATTGCCAGAAGTAAGAGGTTAGCACGGATAACAGCTGTAAACTTGCAATACAATAGGCCAGCTTTTGCTGGAATGTGTCATCCTGGCAGCAGCAGGCTCTTTAACCTGGCACAAAGATTTGTAGCAAGACTTTGTGGTTAGGAACCAGGCTGGACAGATTCAGATAAGAAATTAGTGAGGGTAATCAGCCATTGGAATAATTTACCTGGGGAACCAGTGTAGACAAGATATCACTTGATATCTTGAAATCAAGACTGGGTACTTTTCTAATACAAGTTTGAATCTGATGCAGTGATAACCAGCTGCGAATGTAAATACCTGACAGGGGTCAGAGTACAGTATCTGCCCCCTAATGTTGATAGTATGAACATCCACTATACAACCACATTGCAGAAGAGGGAGACAATTTCTCTCTGTATGGCCCAAGTGCTGAAACAGTGGAGCACAGCTATACTTGCACTGAAGTCACTTCTAAGTACTTCATTAAATGATACAACAGGAGTTCAGTGAGGAGCTGCAGAGTTGAAAAGAATTAAAAATTTATCAGGTACAACTATTAAAATAAACTATCTATAATGTAGCTGAACAGTACCCAGTAAGCAAACATCAAGTTGGCGAGATACCAGATGACAGAAAGGATAATACTCTTAGAATCAAATATTCATGGGGGATCCAATTATGAATTTGAATTTCCTTACCAACAATTCCTGAAATTTTGCCTGGAATAGCCATGGAGACCGAACATAATTTACATTAATACAAACTGAATAAATCAGCCCATTTTAAACCAAACTTCAGTCTATTAAAACAAAAAAAGGCCATTTTTGTGGCTCTTTACCTCTAGAAGGCATTTGAAAAAAACAAACTGTAAGAAAGGAGAAGACTCAAGGAACAAAACCAAGAATATCCATCTAAATTTAGCAGGATGAAGTAAAACAAGACCCAGGGAATGGCTCCTACCAGCAAAGTCTTTCAGGATGTAGGAGAGATCTCCAGAGGAAGCACCCAAGTCCCGTTGTTTCAGACAGCGAGAACAGGGGGGCTTCAGCAGGAGCACCAAGCTCAGGCCTAGTCCATTACTGCCATTAGCAATTACAGCATATAACTTCACTGACAAATTTATCAAGACCTCTGGACTGCTGTGCAGATAGCACTACAAATACTACCCTAAGCTGTGAACTGGCAAAATGAGGTTCTACATGGCCAGCTGAACTGTTCCAAGCACTAACAACAATTGAGAATTAAGACTAATTCAGATTTGGAACAACTTCAGACCTGGTTTACAGATGCCTCCTCCTCACCCAATTCAGTTGCACTTCTGAAATCTGGGTCATCCATACATTATTCCTCCAAACCAAGACACCTCCCTTCCATGCAACTCTTTAAAAGGACTCTGCCCTTATCCAAGCCATCTCTAACAAGCCATGTAGGTTGTGAGAAACTCCAAAACACAAGGGCATCACGTCACAAAATTCTTGGCAGCATGTTACAGATGTGGCTTGGTCAGCGAGGAATGGGCAAGCGGTTCAAGGACAAGGCAACAGCACCTGTACCCAGCAGCGCCTTGGCAAGCCTTTCTTCCCACAGATGAGAGGGGCTCAGATCTCCTCCCCTGCCCCTGCACTCCCTGCTAGGCTTGATCCAGGGTCTCATCCAACTTCTGTAGATAGATGAAAGCATCAAGCACATGGATAGAACAGGTGGTGGGTCAAGCCACAGCCCCGGGAGCTGGAAAGCCCCCCGACAGGTTGTTTGGGGCACCGAAGTTGCCGTCAGAGCCGCTGCGGCAGCCGGGAGCCGCGGGGCCGAGAAGGGGAGCGTGCAGCGGGCAGGTATCTCGCCTTCCCCTCCTCGCTGACAGGCCATAAAAGTCACGAGACGCCAGCGAGCCAAGCGGGGAGGAAAACAACGAGGCGTCCAGAGTTCAAACGTAGCCCTGAGCCGCCGGGGCCTCTGCCCTTGGCCGGGGCCGGAGCCCAGCCAGCAGCTCGGCGGGGAGCCGAGCCCGGGCCGGGCCCACGCTGCGGGCCCTACCTGCGAGGGGCAGGAGCGGGACCGAGGGGCGCTGCGGCTCCCCGGGGCTCCCCCCGACGGCGGCGGCGGCCCCTCGCCCACCCTCCTTCCCTCTCTGCCTGCCTCCCGCACCTGCGGGCCGAGCCCCGCGGGAGGAGGACGAGCTCTTTCCTTCCCCCTCCGCCCCGTCGGCTCCTAAAATGGTGGGCCGCCCTCTTCCCTCCTTCCCCTCCCCGCCGCGCTGGCTCCGGGGGCAGCCGCCCCTCCGGACCCACCCGGGCCCGCCCGGGAGCCTCCGCCAGGCCCCGGGACGAGCCGAGCCGGGCCGGGCCGGGCCGGGCCCCGCGGCTTCCCGGGGGCCGCCCGCAGCGCCCTTACCTGCGCCGGCCTCACATGGCCGGGCCGGGGCCAGCAGCACCGCGACCCCCCCCCCGGCTCCCCCGGCGCCGCCGGTGTCGCTGCCCCCCGCTGCCCGGGCCGAGGCGTCGCTGCTCGCCCCGGGCCCGCAGGTATGTGGCGGCCCGCAGGTGAGCCGGGCACACCTACAGGAAGGCAGGCGGGCCGCCCTGATTGGCGTGCGGGGCCGGGCCGGCCGCGGGCAGAGCCGCCGGAGCCAGCTCGGCGGCGAGGCTGCGCTGGGGCTGCGCTCCGCCACGGGCTCCGGGGGGAGAAGGCGCCTCACGCCCTCCCGGGCGGCGGCACAGCGGGTAGACCTGGCCCCGGGATCCGTCTCCCCGACCGGCTCCAGAAATAGGGACTAGTTGTTTGTGCTTTTTTTTTTTTTTTTTTTTTTTTTTTTTTTTTTTTTTTTTTTTTCCCTCCCCAAACACATCTTCATTACCCGCGTCTCTTCTCTTCCCTCTTCCAGTCTTTATTTTTGCACGCCGGAACCCTTCCGCTCCCCACCCCCAGCAGGCAGCCAGGGTTTTAAGGACAGCACCGGGTACCAGAAGAGGCGTCCTCGCAGCGTGGGGCAGGGTTCAGACCTCAGAGATCCCGACATCGTGTCCTGGATTGTCAGATTAAGGTAAGTGACTTAAACAGCGGAATTCAGAGGAAAATGTGCAGAATTTGTGTGGAAAAACTCTCAGACTGCTACCAGAAGTCAGGATCCACAGCAACCATTCTCAGGCATCCTGTCCTCCCAGGTACACAGGTAAATACCCCGAGAAACCCCGGCTGTGTAAAGACTTTCTCTGGTTGTTGTGTTCAGCTGTGTACTGGAAGGGGACAGCATATCAGTTCCCAGTAAAAGAAGTTCTTTCCCTGTCTGCCAGCTTGACTGTAGCCATAGGGACAGACAGTCTGTAGGGAGGTTTCCCTGACTTGGCAGAGTAGGACAGAGGCCAGCAGAGAAAAGATATAAATAAAAGCAGAAGAAAAGGGGAGGACAACTAGGTACAAAACATTGTGAGTTTGGGAGTAGCAGGACAAAGTGAAACAGCACTAATTTCAGCCTTTCTTTACTCTGTGCCCTGAAACAGCTGATTGTTGTGATCATAAAAGAAGGGGCAAATTTGGAAAACGTGGGTTTTTCATTCCATGACAAAATAGAGTAAGTTGCTTGATTCTCCACTGCCCTAGTTTTATTACTTGCTGCACAGATACCTGGATTTGCTTAAAGGGGTACAGGATTTAGTGAGAACTCTTTTAAATGCAGTTTAGATCTTTTTTTGCAATGGATGCAGAGGGAGCAAAGGATTACGCTAGACAAGTGAGTGAGGAAGGAATTACCTATATTACCTTTTCTGTCTCCTTCTGTAGATATCCAGTGCCATCTCCTACCTGAATCTTTTTTCCTAATAATTTCATGAGGCTGCTGATGTGTACCCACCTGGACACTCTGGAGCAAAAGAGGAGGAGCTTGACGTGGAACTGGAGAAACCCTGTAGCCCACACCTGGGCATTCCTCAACTCTCCCTTCCTTATGTGGGATCTCCCAGGCAGGAAAACTGCCCCCACAAGTGGCATGCTCAAAACCCTACTCAGCCAGCGACAAAATTGTATTTGTGCTAGCTACTGCTTTCTGATTCAGCTAATGCTTTCCTTTGCTTGTATGGATGAATAATTTTATCATAGTGGAACAGCTTCTGCAGTTGATACACCTATTCCATACCACTGCATTTGAAGTCAGCTGGGAGGAAATGGATGCTTCAAATTCCCAGAAGTCAAGAGGGAAATCAGCTCTGCATCAGGTGTTTCATGGGTTGGTGTGCAAAACTCTGGGCCATTACATAAACAGGTGATGCTTCTTCCCACTGCATTTATAAGCTCCTAGCAGCTGGCAGTGAGCTGGAACTGGGAATGCTGGATGGGAAATGGCACCTCTGTCTTCTAGAAAAGGATTATGTATTGTTTAGGAATGGCTTAACCTTTACCCTTCTTCTTGGCACCTCCAGCAGCTTCAGAGGCACTTTTCTTATTTGCTTTTGTGAATCATATCCTGAGGTACCTTGCTTTCCCTGCCCATTGCACTGGAAATTTGAGTGTCTAAGTTTTGGATTACCTAGTGGGGAGAAGTGCCTCAAAGTCATAACATGCAGCTCTCAATATCACAGTATTTATGTCCTTCTATGGGCCAGCTTTTCTTCCCTAACTCCGTGGGAACTGGGCTCCTAACTTCCATGTGGACCCATGAAAATTGCTGAAATGCCATTAAGGTACTTCTTCCCTTAGTGGCATGGAGGAAAGGTCAGTGAGTGATACCATGTGGACCCATGAAAATTGCTGAAATGCCATTAAGGTACTTCCTCCCTTAGTGGCATGGAGGAAAGGTCAGTGGGTGATAGGTATGCTGCAGACTCACAGAATCACTGGGATTGGAAGACACCTCTGGAGATCATCTACCCCACTCAGAGCAGGGTCAACTGGAATAGGCTGCTGTGCCACAGTAGCCACAACTGTGTCCAGTAGGGTTTTAAATATCTCCAGGGGTGGAGACTCCACAACTTCTCTGGGCAACCTGTGCCAGTTTAACCACTTTCATGGTAAAAGAAAGGGGTTTTGTTTGTTTAGAATATCTGCTTATCTGGAACACCACACAGTGTGAGCAGGAGAGGTCCTGCCACATGCTGGGAACAATCTTTCATCTGTAGGAGGATGAGATACAGTGATTCAACATTTTTGGCAAGTAGAGCCATAGCTGATGTGCTCTGTGGTGAAAGTTGAGAGCCAGCATTAGTGGGAAACAGGACAGAGAGTATAAAAGAGAAACGGGCCGGGTGGATTGAGAAGCATCATCTCCCATTTCAGTCCTCCATATGCTGGACTGCACCACCTGAGTACCCAGCACATTCATTTTACTCCAGGAAGAAAAAAATAGCCACATTTCCTCCTGCTCCTTAGTTGTTGTTTGCTCTCTGGTTAGCAGAGTCCTAGCATCCATCCTGTGCAGTTTATTTCCATAGACCCCTCTCCAGCACACTGTGAGAAATGCAGTCTTCCAGACCTCAGCTCAGCTTTGGTGCCACAGGTCCCATGCTCTTACTATTTCTGTAGGTGCTAGCACATTACTGAGCTAGAGCAAATGCTGGAGTAAAAGGGAATAAAATGTTCAGATTTGTACAGTTCATTCAGCTTTTTTATCTCGAATACAGCCTTATTTATATTGACAGGGATTATATCTAGATTTCTGTAGCTATTCTTTTGGATTCACTCGGCAGAAAGAATGCAATGGAATATTAAGCTGTTTCTGTATGTAAATCATCTCTCAGAAATACAGGTTTGAGCCTCCCCAGTTCAGATTTAGGTGTGTATCATACTCTGATTTCCCTTTGTGACAGCAGATAGGAAGGAACAGTATTTTGAGCTTTGATTTTGTTACTTACTTTTATAGTAGCATTTATAGCATTATAATATTTGTGTCTGATGTGCAAACTAGGCTATTGCCCTAAATGGATTACTTGCTAAAACCCACTTTCTTACAGGTGCTGCCAAGAAACAGATAGACAAGTCTTCAGATTCACCATCAGAGACAAAGTCTACTATTAGAGGCATGAGGGTAAGGGCTCAGCTGGAGTCTCCATGTGTGTCAGCCACATAAACTGGCAAAAATGTATTTTTATTTAGGTACATCCATTTAGCCCTGATGTTGCCCAGCAATTCCCTTGATTATAAGCTACTGCCTGCTTTAAAAGGCAAAAAGGTTGTTTTTGCTTTTTGCAAATGGACTGGGGCCTGGTGGAGGTTGAGGAGCTTTCCTGATCACAATGATAGCTGCAGCTCTTGCAGCTGCAATCCAGATGAGTGTCAAGGAAAATGACTTCTCATGTCAGGGCTCATGCTTGTGTGTTGCCTTCATATGTACAAATGCTGGTTTCCTTGACTTTTCCTGATTTTGCTTGAATTGGAGCTAGGAATGGCCAGCCTCTAGTAGTAAAACCAAGCAAATTAGCATCAGTGGTCACTATGCAAATATTGTCAGTTGAGCAGAGAACATGCCAAGCCACTGTGAAGTTCATAACAGTATGTTTAAAAAAAATAATCCCTGCAACATATCTCCTACATAAGATTTCCTATGATTAGCTACAGCAAAGTGTAGCCTAAAACTTTGCATTTCTTTTCTTATGTAACATTTTAAAAGACAGAAAGGAGTAGCTTAAAGTTTAGTTTAATTCAGGTAAACATCTTTTTATTCCAGATAAATAAAATATGGACTTGAACACGCAAGAATATCTTTAAGTAAATATTGGGGAAATAAAAAGGGAACTATACCTATATGTTCTCTGAAGCAATTACACAGCCTTTGATGATATATACTGTCATCAAAGCCAACTGTTTCCTGTTTTCCAGTAGTGTTTGGCAACTTAGTGGCTTCATTTCCAGTGAAACAGTAGTGAGCTTTTAAATTTTTATGAAGATTTTCCTGAGCTAACATTACAAAAATTACACATGATGTACCTAGTTCAATATTGCATCACACTGCTTTCCATGGAGTATTGCTTTTCAAGCCATGTTCCTACCTGACTAATATATGGAGACCTATATGGAAGTATTCCCATAGGTAACTAACAAGTATTTGATACATGTGTATATATATATATATATATATATATTCCAGAATGTAAACCTGCAACCAGTGCAAGGAAAAGATGGTTTATGACCAAGAACAGCAAAGAGGGTATTCTCTGGCACTTCACACTAAATATCAGTATAGGTGTCTTCCAATAAGTAAGATTATTGCAGTCATTTCTGTTGTCCATGTACATCAGGATGTCCATGGGCTACCTGAAAAGCCCATGGTAGCCCATGGTCCACAAAAGGTAACTAAGAAATACAAGGCAGTATCTGTAAACAAGGATCCCAAAAGCAAAAACAGGTTAAAAACAGTGCCACATATTACTAAGAGGCCTCTAAAAGGACAGAAATGCATTATGGAGACAAAATTTCTCTGTTGGGTAACAGGGAGTCAGACAAGGAGAAAGATAGGAAAGCATTTTATAGGATTACCTCTACTCCATCGTCAAAAGTGTGAATTCCTGGGAATTTAGAGTGCACAGCATTGGTCTTACTATCCAGGAATAGCATAAACAAATTTTGAAAAGCTTAACAAAAGCTAGTTATGCAAACATTTTCAAACAACTGTTCCTTTATGCCAAATGACATAGGCAATTTCTAGCTCAGTTACAGTTTTGAGGAAATCTTTCTCCTCATTGGCTCACTACAAGCAAAGGATTCTCTGATTATTGCTTGTCCTTGTCAGGCATCTGAAATACTACAGTGCAGTTCCCAGGGAAGTTTGGGTAGGCCAAAGGTCTAGCCCTGGGTTTCCTGCTGCGCTCTTCATTTCTTCTTCATTTGTGATTCTGAAATGCAGGAGGAATGCAAAAAGCCATCTTTTCCCCCCAGATCCTTAGCTGATCTTAGATACCGCCTTCAAAGATCTATAGCAGTGTTGCTGTTAATGGTGTGAGGCTGCAGCAGAGATGCAGGAATGAGATGTGTGGGGAAAAGTCGTAAGGATATCATAAAGCCTCGCCCAGGCAGTGAGGCTGTGGTAATGTCCCTGTAGGAGTCTGAATGGAATCCAGCCCAATCCTGAGTGTTGCTTCTCCTGAACTGGAGACTAATTTCCTGATAGCTTTGCTTTTATGTGCTCATTTTCTTCTGGAGCTTCATCCATCAGACTATCTGGCTGTAATTCGTAGACTCAATACTTTATAGCACTTGATGCTTCTCATTGCTTCTGCAGGGCTCTTGATCCTTGATTTAAGAATTATATCCTACTGCAGACTGTCTGGAATGGAGAGGGTCTGCAGAAATTTTTGCTAGCAGGCCCATCAGCTAACGAGCAAACTGGAATTTACCATGTCATGTCCAGCCACCCTGCCTGTGTGGTGGCAGGACAGGGACAGGGAGGACAGCTGTACAGGTGGCTGCTTGAATTAGACCCAGCTGCATCCCTGTACAGACATGAATCAGGGTCCTACTGCTATGTCTTGGAGAAGTAAATTGCTTCCCAGCCCACACAATACACACCTCTCTCTCTCTCTCACCTACACATGTAGGTTTAAGTGCTGGATCACATCCTCTAATGACCTTGGCCTTTACCTGGACCTCACACACTAGTGTTTTCCTTATTTCCTGGGAAGTTAAAAAAAAAAAAAATCCTAATCAGAGAGGTCCACAATCACAGCCATTTTTTTCCTTTCCTTCCCTTAGGATCCTTTCAGTAGCCCAGCAGAAGACTGCTGGGGCTCTTGAGAACTTTCTCTCCGCTGCCAACACAAAAACTTTCTCAGAGTCTTTGTCCGTACTTTTCTTATATAAATGGGTGTTTGAGGCAGTAACTTATTAGATGCATGTCTGTAACACTCCAGGTCCTCTGTAAAATGGATGCTAACAAATAATCCATTTGCCCATTCTTGTTCACTCAGAAACCACAGTGCTAAGAAGATGCTTCTTCCCAGCTCGTATCCTCATGCAATAATGCCCATCTAAGTGTTGTTGCTTGTGGTGTAAGTCAGTGCTGCTAGCTGCTCAGACCAGTCCTTTGCTTTCTTTCCTGCCATTGGCTAGACACAAAATCCAGCCCACAAACAAATTAACCTGTCCCATGCATCTATAAAGATGATTACCAGTTAAAGAATTGCACACAGAAGTCCCTGACTTGTATTAAGAGAATCTTGAATGGCTGTAAAAACAAGCACTTAAAATTATAGAAATTCAGAATTCAGAAATGGATGAAGGGCTTGAAGCTTTTGGTTTGGCTTTTTTTGGGTGCATATAATTATGCACAATAGTGTAGTTTTTAATGATGTAAACACGTGAATTTTCACAAGCTTAGCTTTTACGAAGGAGGACAAACAAAGCTGAAATATGCCTTCCTCCCCACTCTGTGTCTTCGCATGAGAGGCAGTCCTAGAGTGACCTCTCAGCTTCTATATGTAATGACATAGTGCCCTCTGTTGGGAAGCTGTTCCTGATGCTGTCTTCTCCCTGCAATCAGGTGAGGTAGCATTAACACAAATAATCATACTTTCAGACATGCTCCCATATACTGATGAAGCAGGTTTAAATTTTTTTCCTCCTTAGCCACTGCAGATGTTTTGTGTTAGGTTTGAGCAAGCAGTTGCACTACATTACTATTAAGGCTTTCTGTGAAAGTGTCAAGAAAGACCTACCATTTTATTATAGTTTCAGCTTTTTAAAAATAAAGGCTCCATGATTTTAGCCAGAGAAGAAACTGAGAACCTCTTGTTCAGCTGGGTGCACATGAGTCATGCTGCTTCACATCAGCAGCAAGATGTGTGGGGCTACAGACTGGCTGCTTGCTCTGTGTGTGTGGATAGGATGATTAGGTTTAGCCTAAATAAACTGTCTTTAAGAGAGGTTGTTGGGCAGAGGAAGCAAATCCTACTGCCTGGAATTCCCTCTCCTGTAGCACAATGGTTTATCTCTATTATTCCTGACAAGAAGAAAAGAAATTCTCCCCTGGTCTTTGCCTGATCCTTCTTCCTCACTTACCCTACCAAAGTAGGGCCAAGGTTGGCCATTTGTCTCCCACCCTGTCCTGCCATCCTCAGCATCCAGTCCTCATCATACATTGATGAATCCTCGCCCTGCTCCAAACACTGGAATGAGATTAATGCTATACTTATCCAAAACATGTGCACTGTGTTGGCCCAGCCTAACATAACTTGGTGGGATCTACCTTGAGAGCACAGTGCCAGTCACAGACACCTTCTGTGGGACCAAACCCTTGCTCTAACCCAGCTCTCACACAGTGTTTGATCCTTAATATCAGTGGCCTTGTTAGGCCTTGAAAATATATATTTTCTTCTGGCTCATGGTAGCATAAGACCAAAACCCAGCTATGCTACCCATGCTGGCTTTCCTGAAAGGCCCCAGATTTAATATTAATCCTTTAATAGCCCACATGTTTAGTGATAGAAAAGTCTGAGCATTTTACTGAAATCACTCCACAATGTTGGCCCAACATACTATCATCCTTAAAGTTGCCAGGGACAATTTTTTAGAAGCCAGTTCAGGCAACACATCATCTCCTATTTTACCAGCTTCTAGCCTAGTCCACAGATTTCATCCAACTCAAGCTCCTAATGAAAGTCAGTCCCTTATAGAGAGTAAGATGTACTTGTCCACAGTATTACCAGTCCTAAATCTCCCAGGACCAGTGTTTTGACAATTAGTTTTAAGAGAAGGATGGGGGAAGTCCTTAAGTTCTGCTAGATAAATACATTATTTTGAGCCATGACTGTTCCAGCATTAGAGCAATCAAAGGTGATGCTTGATAAGGATATAGTACATTAATTCCTTTATGTTCCTTCTTCTAGCTTTATCTCTAGCCTAGCATTTTATACTACCAGAGGATTCCCAGTGCCTCTCACCCGAATACCTCAGTATGGAAAATGAAACCTTTCCCATATGATGGGTGTTACAGAATAGTAGTTGGTGAGTTGTCAAGGTAGAGCTCTCAAAGTAGAGCTCTCAAATGAGCTTTCAGAGAAATACAACCATCCACACAGTGGTGGGTAAGTATCA